CTGGATCATATCGAAGATCTATCTGTAGTTGTTTGAGAAAGCTCCATACTATTTTCCATAGTGGTTGTACTAACTTACAGTCCTACCAACAATATAGGAATGAGAAACTGACAATAAAAAAAATTAGAAATAAATGAAAACATAGAATAAATGCCACACATTGCCAGACTTTGTGCAGAAGGCTTCTTGAGACTAAGGTGCAGAGAGGGTGCAGCTCTTGGTTCATTCATTCAGGATTTTTTGAGCAATACATTGTGCAGGAGGCTGAGGACTCAAAATTAGGAAAGTCATGGCCTTTCTTCTGAAAAGCTCTCGAGCTCTGGGGAGACTGCAGCTCCTGCTGGGTCTCCTCCAATTCTGGCCCGGGACTGCATCCAGGCAGAGCTGCTTGGACTGAGTTGAGACTGGCTGGGGCCGTTTGGGGCCTGCTCAGAGGCCAAAGACGGCCTCACCATCTCTGGGGAAACCCTTGGCAGAGCTCAGTTGCACAGGAAACTCTCACTCACTCACCCAGGATGACAGGAGGCCAGGACAGTCTCACTGAGGCCCACCTCTTTGACTGTTGTCCACTCTCGTTCTTCAGTTGCTATTTTCTACCTACCTTTGCCCCTAAGAACCAAGAAACTCTAGAAAGTCAGGTAAGTGAGGTTGTCTTAGGAATCATCTCGTTTTCCCTTTCCCCATTTAACAAAAGAATGTAAGGTCTGAGGAAGTCAAACGATTGTTCAAAGCGCCTGAAATTTCTTGTTCTCCACAGTCAGTGCCTTTACCTCATCCAGTCACCTTCTAGAAGAAAAAAAAGGCAGAGCTGTTGAGCCCATTCATTCATTTCTCTAACATTGGTGAGCAGCCCCTGCTGGGCTCTGCCATGGGAGCTGTGGATGCAAATGTGAGTGGCTCAGCCCCGGTCTGCGAGGGGCCCGCACTCTGGTTGGGGAGGCAGAGTCCAGAGAGCCTACTTCACTGTCGTGAATGAGTAATGAGGGCTGCAAAAGAGCCCCATGAGGACGATACCCAGGCGCTTAGGGAGTTGAGGACGGCTCCTCTCTGGTCTTCAGGCTGAGTGAGCATCTCAGGCCTCGGGGAGGGAGCTGCCTGCCAGGCAGAAGCAGCAGTGTGTCCTGCACTCGAGTCCCCTGGGAGAAGGTGGCTGAAGAGATGAGGAGGGAGGGGAGGTCATTTTGCATTTACTCTTCAGGTTTAATTTTTCTAAACTGCAAATCCAATTGCATAATCCCCTTGCTTAAATTTCTTGATTACTCTTTATAGCCCTTGGGGGGACTGTTACTCTGTTCATTATGTGGTGAGAAGCTGGGAAGCAACTGAGACTGGAGACCTGGAGCCCCTAGGAGGCCACCGCAGGAGACCTGGAGGGGCATTGGGGCTGAGCCAGGCAGCATAACTGAGTGCATTGCACGTATCTAGGAAGGGAGATCAGAAGAGAGGGAAGGGCGTCCATAGGTGCCGAGAGCACACTTGCAATCAAGGTGGGGAAGGCTTCTTTGTCAAGGTCTCCCTCATCCCACAGGGTGGCTGAAGCCCCTCACTGCAACTCCCGTAGGACTTCTCTGTGAGCTATAAACGGTCAGAGTCTAGGACCCTTCCTGACTCTGTAGCCCATCCACAGGGTGAAAATGAGGTGGTCACTATCCCCTTTGGGTCTTAAATTCCCTAGTTTTAATATGAGACTATAATACCCCTCAGAATTTCAGCCTTTTTGAAATAGCACCAAGGCAGACTAAATACAGTCATGCATGTCTTAATGACAGGGGTATGTTCTGAGAAATGTGTCATTAGGCGATTTCATCATTGTGTGAGCATCATAGAGTGTACTTACACAAATCTAGATGGTGTAGCCTGCTACACACCTATGCTTTATGCTATAGACTATTGCTCCTAGGGTACATACTTGCACAGCATGTTACTGTACTGAATACTGTAGGAAATTATAATACAACGGTAAGTATTTGTGTAGCTAAACATATCTAAACACAGAAAAGGTACAGTATAAATACAGTA